TGTCATTATCATTTACCAAAGCCTTAGCGACCCTTTTCCGTAGTATAATCCACATCTTAAATTTGTTTCTGTGAAGTATATTAAGGGTCCTAATAAGCAGTTTAAAACACAAGGCACAAATTAATCAATTTCAATTCATTCCAGTAACCCTAGGCTATAGTTTTCAGCGTAAAAATTGAAGCTGTCTATAAAAGATTACAGCTTTGGTTGGGATATGTTTGAATTTGGGGACTAAATTTCAATAGTTTTCACTTATAAGTAGTTAGTTGAGATTTCAATCTGTTGCATCATACAGAACCAGACTCATTGAATCCAGCTCCATATTTTGTTGCATCACCAATAATTCTTTGCATAGCTTGAATTGTATGCAAATTATTTCACCAGATTGCAATGATTTTTGATGCTAAAAAACTTCTACACCAGAAAGATATGAATAGAAGGGATATTACAGTGAATGAATTTTTTAGGTTCATCTGTATTTATTGTCACGTCTTGAGATCAAGACGTAACACGGCCCTTTTACCTTGAAGAAAATCCTAAAGTAATATGAAGCCTTCTTTCTTAAACATTTTAAAATTTTTCAATAAAACAATCTATCAAGTAAAATATATATTTTTAATCCAATTGATAATACATCTTTATATATCCACATACAAACCATATAAAATACAACACTATCTCTTAAGATCTCATTGGCCAACGTATTCTCCAATGACTGAGTAATCTTTTCCATTTCATCTTCTAGCTTCACACAAGACTAACTAAACTTATCACTTAGTCACTTGTAAAAAAAAAGTAAAAAAGGAATGAGCAAACTACAGCTCAGTAAGTATAGGTTCACACACCTTATCAGATCAAGCATCGTTTTCTTACACATCATATAGATCATTCAAAACATTCATCAAATCATAATATCAAAACATTTTAAGATCATCGTTTTGTCAAATATTTCATAAATTCATAAATCAATGTCAAAATATATCACTTCATAAATTATTACAAAATATGCTCTCATTCAAATATCATAATCAAACCAAATCATGGATCAATCATTAAAAATCATCGCAAATCATCATTATCATTCATTTATCGTTAGCTACGGTCACTACTATAACCCATGACATTGGTCGTATCGATAATTTTATCCTCATGATCATTGCTAACTATTATAACCCATTAGCCAGGGCTTACGTTAACTACTATTACCCGTTAGCCAGGGTCATATGATCATGTTTTTGTTAACTACTATTACCCGTTAGTCAAGGTCGTAGAACTAGTTTTGGGATCGATAATCCCACTTCCCAGGGATGTAAAAACGTAGCCATCATAAAATCATTCTTTAAACATAAATCATTTTCTCATTTCATTCATAAGCATGATCCATCATTTATATAGAAAAACACAAAATAATCATATGCTTGATTCTATTTTCATACATCGAAAATAATAAAATAAAATATTCATTCATTTAGAAACATACATATATACATAGATTCGAAAATAAGCAAAGTGTGTGAGATTCTACTTACCTCTATTCGATTCCACCACTTATTTTTCCCTCAAAATAATTAATGGCCTATCCAAAATCATTTCAACAAATCAGAATTTAATCAACCCTTTTTGAGACCATTTATACAAAAAATCAACTAAGTTACACAAAGGGTTAACTTAACTAATTAATTCTGGTAGCTTGACCTCTTTTCATTAAAACAGTCATTTGTCAATATATCCAAATCAGAATTATGATCTCTTTAATGCATTAGAAACTAGACTTGATAAGCTTTCTAACCATATATGGCACACATCGTAATTCCTTGTAGATTAATTATAACAATTTTTGAAATCCACGTCATATACTGCTGCCAAACAGCCTGTATACCTTCTAATAAAAATTATATATTTATTCACAGGAAACTCTAAATTCAACTCTGCTTATTTCATTGGAAAGTAGACTCAATAAGCTTTCCAAACATATATGACTTAATCTGTATATCTTTGTATACAAATTAAGAAGAATTTTGTAATTCAATCCTAATGCTATTGTTTTACAGCCTGTATATCCTTAAGTTAAAATTAGAAAACTCTTTATAGAAAACTCGGATTTGACTTTCGTTTGTTTCATTAGAAACTAGATTCAACATGCTTTCCAATGATATAAAATAATCACAGCAATAATCTATCAATTAATGCAAAATTTTATTTTAATTCATTATTATAGATCACAACGTCTGATCCAAAAATAAAATTTTTCCTTCAATCTTTAAAAGCTCAAATCTTTACTTTCAGCCTTCAAACTCTATTCAATAATCATCAATAAATCTTAAGAACATTAAATAAACAAAGCCCTGTATTTTACCCAAATAGATCATCAAGATTAATGAAGGATTTCATGATTTTTCTTGGTTTTTCTCTCAAAACTTCAACTTCAAATAATAGCAATCAACTTGATATTTTTTTTCAAATAAAAAGAGGGCATATACTCACCTTTAAGGGATTAACTTAATTGTAGCCTCTGATTGTGAATCTCCAACTTGATTTTTTATATTCTCTAACCCTAAAGAAGATGAGAAAGAAGAACTCTATTTCTTTTCTGTTTCATGATAGTTAGATTTTTTTTTATCTAATACTTCAGCCATTTTTCTTTTTATTAAATAATGTCTTAATAAACTGATGGGTTTTAGTATTAGTCTAGCCCAATTATTATTTGGGCTGGGGTATTACATTTATATAACAAGAATAAGCTTAATTAAAAAAATTTTGGATAAAAGGCAATCAAAAGAAACTTGTCCTTGAACCCAAAAATTAAATCAATTGATTCATGCAATCACTTCTAACTTAATAACTGGCATCCAACAGATCAGAAGTTCAGATTCCAACACTTGCAACTCCTATATTCTCAGGCTGCACCATCTTTTTGAAAAATAAAAACTTGTCTGCTGTTGTCAACCTAGACAGTTTCTTCAGGAGATGAAGGTGTATTATACTATTATGCTATTTCTTCGAAAACAACATCCTCAAGTTTTTGCATTTTTAAATGAATCGGTGAAAAATCAGTTGAAAGGAACAGATTTTCATGGAACGAAGTCCATAGCCCATGAAAGCATTGATTTCCATCTTACAAACCCTTTACTTGATGGTAAATATATTGTAATATTATGAAGAATAAGCAATTCCTCATATGTGACTGGAAGCTGTATGACACCTGCATCAGCTGCAAGAATGTCAATATATATATATATATATATATATATATTTATATATTTTGTGAAAGGGAACTTTCAACAAGAACTAGGACCAATTTTATTTTAGATATTGTTGTGAGTTACTTTCAATCCATAAAATGCAATTAGAACATAGCTGGACCTATAATTAAACAGAACAAGTTAAGAAAGAAAAGACCGGCACATATGACAGCTTAAAAGTGATCTCTTGTATTTCAATATGTACTGATGTAAGCAGAGGAAGAGGAATTAGATTAGCATAAGTGTGCAGGCCTGTTGAAGAATGACTTACAGAGTAATTAAAATAATAGATGCCGAGTAACGACTTTCAGATTTGGTATAAATTAAATAACTAAAATAAATAAGGCAAAATCATAGACTAGTTCAATGGCTTCAACCTATAAATAGCCATCCATCCATGCAAGGCTTCTCATACTTCATCAAGCAATAAAACTTGTTAAGAATTGTTAAGCTACAAAGCTATCTTTACAAGAATGAAGGGCCTTAGTTTTCTCCTAGCCTTTTTCGTCATGGCTCTGGCATCGTCTTTGGCCTTTGCCTCCGACCCTAGTGCTCTTCAGGACTTCTGTGTAGCCATTAATGACACCAAGGAGGCTGGTAAGTTTTCTCTTGCTCTATTTTCTGTCTACACTTGAAGCTAGTACATTGCTGCTTTCTAACTACGTGAAATCCGATGTTTTGGATGGCATGATATTGACTAACATTTCTTACTTACATGCAGTGTTTGTCAAAGGGAAGGTCTGCAAAGACCCAAAGCTTGCCCAAGCAGATGATTTCTTCTTCTCAGGGCTCAACATCCGCTGAAACACCTCGAATCCAGTTGGATTAAGTGTCACTCCTGTTAATGAGGCACAAATACCAGGACTTGACACTCTGAGGATATCTTTGGCTCGAGTTGACTATGTACCTAATGGTGGCCTAAGCCCTCCTCATACTCACCCTCGTGCCACCGAGATTTCTAGTCGTCTTGGAAGGCACACTCTATGTTGGTTTTGTTACATCCAACCCGGATAATCATAGAATTACCAAAGTCTTGAACAAGGGCGATGTTTTCGTATTCCCAGTTGGTCTCATCCATTTCCAGTTCAACGTGGGAAAGACCAATGCTGTTGCCCTTGCTGCTTTGAGCAGCCAGAATCCAGGTGTTATTACCATAGCAAATGCAGTGTTTGGATTAAACCCAACCATTAATCCTGATGTTCTTGCCAAGGCCTTTAACCTGGACAGAAATGTGGTGGAAGATCTTCAGTCCAAATTCTGATGGGGTAGCAATTGGAGAAATGTTTCTACATTGCAGCTTATGTTGAACAATGTTTGAGATCCCTTGTCATAGGAACAATTCTTTTCGAAATATTAAATAAAAAGGTTCCTTATAGACCTCTGCTTATGCAAGCCTGTCTGCACGGATTTTAGCATATTACAAAATTAGCAAGTTGTTTCCCAGTTTGGACAACACATGTAAAAGATATATCTGGATCTTATTGGACAGAAGTATTTATTCCATTAGGGATCTATAGAAGAAATACAACAAGATACATTCCTTCTTGTTCATAGGTGAATGAAAATTGACCAAAAAGAATGAGCTAACGTAGTTCAAAGAAGATATGACCTAAATGGAAATAATAGCTGCAATTCCTCTAACTGGTGCAGGTGCCAGAAGAATAAATCCTAACAATAGAACTGAAGTCGAAATATGATGACTGATGAGTTCTCAATCATTGATGGTAAGAACTTTTTGAAGCCATTGCTAAACCAAATCTAGATGAGCTTGTAATAGCAGTTCTTTCCAGACAGAAGAATTTTATAGCCTTTGCCGCAAGGGCACTTGAAATCAAGGTCCAAGCATTCCCCAATTTTCTCCACTCTCACAGCCTCTTCACAATCCACCTCACCATCACCCTATAACAATAAACTTGACATGTCAACACCAGCGACAAAATGCAAGCTAAATGGATAAAAACCAACCATCTAAAATGTTAAAAAAGTTCAGAAATTTGTTTGTTTGTTTGTTTTTTTTTTTTTTTTTCACTATATCCCCCAAAATTCGCTACCATTGTTGATATAGAATAACTACAAGAATCAAAAGTTCTTTTTCCTTATACCATTTTCTTGGCAATCAAACAGCTACTAGTAAACTTGATCCTAAAAAAATTAGAAAAGCAAACCTTTATTGCCTCAGTGTTCCACACATCTTCAACTTCTCGCATGGCCTCATCCCACCATTGTCTCATCTCTTTCATCCGCTCCTTCATTCTCCTCAATCTCTGCCATTAACATACATATAAAATCCTTAATATGCTTTTCTTTTTTTGTAAGTCAAAATCTTAACATTCAGAATCCATCTTGAACCAAAATGTTTAAGACACTTCCTCTAACCACAAACATCTTAAGAAAACAAGCAATGTGAAAATTAAACCAGACCCAACGGTTCCAAGAAAAAGAATCAATCATGGACCAAGAAAATAGATAAACCCAATTAAAAAAAGAAACAAAAGAAGCAGTTTTAAATGAAGAAAGAACCAACCTTGACACTGGGACTCTCTTCCTTGATCAGTTCTATCCCCATCTCGTTGAAGCATGAAGACCTTGAGAAGGACTTACCAGGAGATAAAATGGGATCAGATATTGACCTGCTTAAAGCAGGGGCCCTTGGAGGCAATGCTGAACAAGAAGCACTTCCTTTTGACAATGGGGTATCATCCAAGGCCTTTGCATTCTCTGAAAGGTTAGTTTTTGGAGGGGTGTAAGGGTCAGAAGCGGAGCGGTGAAGCTGTGGAAGGGGGATCTTGGAGAAGCCAGCGAGGGAGTACTGGTGACTGTCAAGCAAAGGTTTTTTGGACTTGGGTTCTGAGACTGGTTCAGGAGAAGGACGTTTCATTGGGTTGGAAGCGGTGACATTGCAGGCACAGATTATGCATGGATGGTGGTTTTGGTGGTTGTTCTTGAAGCTGTCAAGGTGGAGGCCGGAGAGGTTGATGGATTCTTGGAGTTGAAGATCATCTTCTTCTTGGTTTGGAACTTCAAAGTCTGGTTCTTGGTTCATGTCACCCATTGTTTCTGCCTCGGTTGATTCTTCAAATTTTCAATCTTTATTAGAGAGACTGTGTTTCTTGCTTGAAATGCGTGCAGGGGAAGAGGGAAAAGGCAGGGAAATTGTGAAGGGTTTATATATAACTTTTGAGGGGTCAACGGATGATTCTTAAATCTAGATCATGTGGCAGTTGTTGTAACTGACAAACCAATGAGGGAATGCCATGTCAAATTCCAATAATTCCAAGAAGGAAACAAATTCATTCATTTTCCTTTATTATATGATGAAATTAAAGTACAGAGAGGCTTACATAAGCCAAAGTACATAAGCAACATCTTTATTTTGTATTTCAACCCAAAGAATTATACTAAATTCAATGAGAGAAACAAGACAAACATCATCCAAAACAAGCTACTACATAAATTTCATAGGTGCAGAAATATTACTCTAGTTGTTATCCCACCAGAACTGGTGTTGAAGTTGGTTAACGATGTTCTTATCCAGCTGGAAGGCCTTAGCAAGAACATCAGGATTGATGGCAGGGTTAGAGCCAAAGACTGCATTTGCAATGGTGATAACCCCTGGGTTTTGGCTGCTGAGAGCAGCAAATGCAACAGCGTTGGTGTTCCCTACGTTGAATTGGAAGTGAATGAGACCGATTGGGAAAACAAAGACATCTCCAGGGTATAGGACTTTGGTGATCAGACGGTTATCGGGGTTGGATGTAACAAAGCCAACGAGGAGTGTGCCCTCCACTACGACTAGGATTTCTGTAGCACGAGGGTGAGTGTGAGGGGGGTTTAGGCCACCATAGGGTGCAAAGTCAAGTCGAGCCAATGAGATGCCAAGAGTGTTAAGTCCTAGTATTTGGGCAACATTGACTGGAGTGACTTTTGATCCTAGTTGGTTTGATGTATTTCCTGGAATGTTGAGCCCCGAAAAGAAGAAGTCCATTGGGGTGGCAAGCTTTGGGTCCTTGCAGAACTTGCCATTAACAAAAACTGCATAAATGGAAAGAAAAAACATTCTGTATTTAGTATAGGTGTTGACATGAACACATTCCAAGGAAAACAAAAGAAGAATTAAAGAACATACCACCAGTTTTGGTATCATTAATTGCTACACAGAAGTCCTGAAGAGGGCTGGGGTCGGAGGCAGAGGCAAGTGTGGAAGCCAGAGCAAACAGAACAAACGCCACAAGGAAATAAACACCTTTCATTGTTGTAAGGTAGCTGTCTTTGGTTAAATTGTTTTAAGTTTTGTTGCTTGGTGAGGGGTGAGAAAATCTGGCTTGAAAGCATGCCTATTTATAGATAGCAGTCGCTGAACAGGTCTATTCATTTCCCTTCTTTTTAATTTTTTTTTAAAAACAAAGATGAAAGATTTACCAAGTCTAAAGTGATTACTGTTTAAACAAAAATCTAGATGAATCATTCTTCAGCTATGATCTGCGACTTCATCCTCATCAAATTTAATCTTCCCATAATTACATCAGTACATTTTGCAATGGAACTGGTCATTTTTTAGGTACCAAATATTTTCTTTGTTTGTTTAACTACTCTATTGACTTTAAAATAATTTCCCATTTATTGCCCCTTAAACAATTTCAAGGTTACTGTGCTTCTATATCTATAATGGTGAAGCAGCCAGGGCATCTATTTTCTATTCTATGTTGCTTTCCATTTGCGGATTACATTTATAGTTAACCAAGCTTTATGGTAAACCTAAGGCTTCAGGGTTTATATATATCTCTGATAGATTTTTTTGTCTCAGCTGATGACAAAGTCTAATCTGACATACCTCTGGGACTTGAATAAGTTACTTGTTTCCAAAATAGAACTTAGCAATGGAAGCAAAAAGTATGAGAATTGTGGATGTAGATAATAAAATTAGAGTAGCAGGCGGTTCTCAGGTGGATATCAACTCTATGCTTGCTAATAAACCTGAAATGGTGATGACTTGGTCAAGATTGTTGATGTGTTTTTCCCTTTTATCATCAGCATCATCTTCTCAGCACTGACATTAACTATTCCAGCACTAAGATATTAAAAGAATACCATGATAGCTCTTTTAATTTTCCAGTATCACAGAAATTAAAGTAGTGGACCAAGGTTCATTGAGTCTCACTTTCATCTAAGTTAAAGGAAATGCGGAATGTGTCCTAGGTTCGAACAGTCCTCCTAAATGGGTGATTTGTACGATTTGTCCTGATGCTGAAACACAGAAGCCTCCCCTCACCTTAAACTTTTTTTTTCACCAAAAAAGAGTAGCCAGAATGTGGAGCTTTTCTCCATAATTGTTCATACTCCTTCCCAATTCAGAACAAATTTCTTCTATTTTATTTTGCAGAGTGAGATTTCTTCATAATAAATTATAGTTTTGAATTTACAAATCATTATTCTCCATGAACCTATGTTAGCATAAGACAAATGGTTTATTATCCTTTATTATCGAGATTTTTGTCCTTATCGAATCACATTTTTCTAGCAATTTTTTTTATTTTCTTGTTCTTATTAAGCAAGTCAACCATCTTTAGGGCCTAAAATAAACCAAAGAGAAATTCAGGAGAATAAAATTGAAAAGTTCATCTCCCATAGTTCATACGGAACTAAGAGCTAGGAATTCTGATTTTTAATTCATAATTTCATATATATCCTCACTTCTTCCATGATTGTTTCCTGCTTAAGTTATACATGATTCTGGTGATCTTTTCAAAGCAATTCATTATTTGCCAATTAATTGATCAATCTCTGAACAGTTCCAATCTATAATGGACAAATTCACATGAAATGTGTTTGACTGTCCATGCATATCTAAGATTGAACTGTGTCAACTAAGAAAATGTAAATTTATCTAGAGATACAAAACCAGTCTTGAATCTTTCCAAGGCTTTTCTTGCAGGACCCCTCCTTCAGCCGGCCTGCAGCAGCAATTCTTCGAAATCGTTTTTACAATTAAAACAGTGAACAAGAACAATAAAAGGAGCAGAAAATGAAGGAAAAAAAATCATATTAAAGGTTTCAATATTAATTACTCTCAAGTGAAAGTGAAGATAAACTGAATTTGCAGCTTAGTTTTATTGGTTTATGCAGTTATTCTTAAGAGATGGCATTCAGCAGGTTTGGAGTTCAAATTCTTGCATCTACAACCTCTTCTCCTATTCCCAATTTGGCTATACAACCTCTTCTCCAGCAGCCGCGACGTTCTTCGTACTAAAAAAAAGAGTGAAGATAAACCCACAATGGCTGTCTTTTAACATTTTAAGTAACTAAGAAATTAATTAGGCCTGATCAGATGAAAATCACAAACAATTTTCAAGCACCTATAATCTCATTAAATTTGGATGGTAAGAATCAGAAAGATGATAGAGGCCTATATAGTTAAGAGTAGCAGTGTATATGTTCATGCCCTTACATGCCAGAAAAATGTTTACATGATCAGGTCAAATTTGAAAGCCATGATTTCCTACTTAATTATAAAGCCATGCCAGCATGGTAATGTAAGCTATACCAGAAATTTATATTTGAATGAGCAGCAGCATAAGAAACCTGCCCAGGCCAGTTGCATGTTTAAACAGAGCCAAATGTAATGATTCTCAGCAAGGACTATTATCAACTTTATTTTTAATTGTATCTTATATGACCTGGAGTGCCTGCAGCCTCAGTTAGCAACCTTGGATTTATTCTAAAGTCAACAAATGGTTTCATTTTGTATTAAGTACTGCAAAAGACATAATTTAATGACGGAAATGACTGCTTCCATTACAATACTGTGTTGATGTAAGCATAAGGATAGGGGATTCGATGAATAGACATGGGTAGTGGTTGAAGAACAATTCATCAGAAATTTAGAAGGAAAAAAAAATCGAAGCAGACTTGGTAAATCTTTCTTTTGCTTCTTGTAAATAAGAAATTATAGAATTGTTCAAAGACTCCAATTAATCTATAAATAGGCATGTCCTCCAGCAAAGTTTCTCATCCCTTCCAAAGCTATCAAACTTACAGGATTTAAGCTAGAAATTACATTATCACAATGAAAGGTGCTCATTTCCTCTTAGCAATTTCTCTCTTGGCTCTGGCTTCCTCATTTGCCTATGCATCTGATCCTAGCCCTCTCCAGGACTTCTGCATCGCCATCAATGACACCAAGGATAGTGGTATGTTCTATTTTTCTCTGTTATTCTTAAACTTACTTCAAATATGTGCCTAAAACAAAGCAACCCAGCAGGAAGCAAAATTTATAGGCAAGAAAACTATCTAAAACAATCTAAAAGCTTTGCATGGAATAATGAAAATAACATATTTTTGCTCTTCATATATGCAGTGTTTGTTAATGGGAAGTTCTGCAAGGATCCAAAGCTTGCCAAAGCAGAAGACTTCTTCTTTTCGGGGCTCAACATCCCAAGAAACACATCAAATCCAGTGGGATCAACCGTGACTCAAGTCAATGTTGCACAAATACTAGGACTTAACACTCTTGGCATCTCATTGGCTCGACTTGACTTTGCACCCTATGGTGGCCTAAACCCCCCTCACACTCACCCTCGTGCCACGGAAATTCTAGTCGTTGTGGAGGGCACACTTTACGTTGGCTTTGTTACATCCAACCCAGATAATCGCCTCTTCACCAAGGTCCTATACCCTGGAGATGTGTTTGTTTTCCCTGTTGGCCTCATTCACTTCCAGTTCAATGTGGGGAAAACCAATGCTGTTGCCTTTGCTGCTTTTAGCAGCCAGAATCCTGGTGTCATTACAATTGCCAATGCGGTGTTTGGATCAAACCCTCCCATTAATCCTGATGTTCTTGTCAAGGCCTTCCAATTGGACAAGAACGTGGTGAAAAATCTTCAGTCCAAATTCTGGTGGGCTAACAATTAAGGAGAGCATTTATTTCATCATACTTGAATTGGTGTTGTAATTTGTTTGGGATAATGTTTAACCTGTTTCCCTCCTTATAATAACGATTTATTTTTTGCAAAAGAAAAAAACAATGCTTATGTATCCATGCTTATGTAAGCGTCTATGTCAAGCATTGGATATTAATATTATTAATTATTATTAATATATTAATTTTACTAAATGATTTGTTTTTCAAATTTTTAGTATATTTAAAGATTTGCTTGTGAAAAAAATCAAAAATTAAAGATTGAAATGAAAATAAAAAGAAAATGAATTATCTATAACCGATATATTAAAACTATCACTAATGGATAGAATGGTGACATGTGGTAAGTTTATTGCTTGCCTCATGTGTATTTTTTTTTATTTTTAAAATTTTTATGCAAATATTTTTTTTATGGGTTAGTATATTAACATGTGGTGAACTCTTTACTTACCATGTAGAATTTTTTAAAACTAATTTTTTTTTTCGAAAATGTTATTTACTTAATTATAATTATAATAAAAAGAATAATAGGAGTCCAGTGTAGGGAAGATAATGTATTGTTGGCAATTCTAATACTCTCCAATGCTTTTGTAAAAAAAAAAAAAAGCACCTAAATAATAAAAAAAATCCATAAAAATATATTTAACTTATCCAAGAAAAAATTAACTATCAAAATCTTAAAGCTAACTACCATATTAAATTTCAATCACATATTAAGACATAAAAAAATACAACTAAATTTAATCAATTGAAAAAATAACTTACATGAAAATCAACTAAAAGTTCTCACAAAAAATAATAAAAATTCTTTAAAAGTTATCAAATCTAAAATTAAATATATTTTTTAAAATGTCTTTTAAAAACGAAAAAGTATAAAATTAAAAAACTAAAAATACTAGATTTGAGATTTTTTAATAAATTACAAAAAATTAACAATAACCAATCAAAACAAACAACCATATAAAAAGCGTTAGATATAATATTTTCAAACTCTTTTTTTAGTCTAAAAAAATTAAAAAACTAAAATAGATAAAATTTCTAAAATTATTTTTTATAAAAATTAAAAAATCTCCATGCGAAGCGGCAGTAACATTTTAGTAATAAATATTAGAAACTATTAAACGCTGTTGTCTTAGTTGAAAACTTTGACTTTTTTCTACAAACTATATGACGAATTTTTTTTTCATTCATATCAAATAGTTATTTTCATAAATAATGTTACTTGTCTCTCTTCTCTTATGATATCATAATAATATATTTGTATGAGTTTAATGAGATCTACTAATTATTCATATATGGAGTAATGCTTTCTTGTATGAGTTTAATGAGATCTAC